GACGCTGGGGCCAGCAGCTGCGCGGGGTGGTTGGGGCTCGCGGGGTACGAGTGGTCAGCCGCGTCCGACGCGTAAGATCTACGGCACAGGAAAACCCAACGGTCGTACTCCTGGGAGGGGGGGACGTGGGTTTTGGGGGTATTTTGGGGTTGAGACAACAAAACACAAAATGGCCACAAAAACACAGCTGTCCAAGAAAGCGGAGGGGAGGAGGGCACCGACACAGCCGAACCAGTCCCTTCCCTTACCTGCTAAGTGGAAAGCGCTCCGACTTTATCCCAACACCAAGGCTGCTCCCGAGGTCCAGGATGCGACCCCGGGGCCACCAGCTGCCCAGGAAGCTACCACGGGTTCACGGCTTACCACCCCGACCCCACTGCGGGCAGCAGGTCCCCCCCAGAGACGGAGAAGAAGAGAAAAGCGAAGAGGAGCCGGTGAGCTAAACGCGTAGTAGGTGAAACCTGCCTATTATCTGGGGACAGTGATCCTTCCGATGACGCCATGTGATAGGGGGATGGTGAGAACCTGTTATCGGGTCGGAACTCTTTATCATACGCCATCATGTTCCACTCCAGGCGCCGGTTGCGGGCTTTCCTCACTTTCTTCACCTCCCGGGTGGAGTCCTCCACCAGCCGCTGTTCCTGCGGGCACAGACAAGCCGTGGCTCCATCTCCAGCCCGGCTCCTCCGGACCACGAGTGGTACCCAGGGAGCATCGCCCAGCCCCATGAGATGCACCCACCACAACGGGGGGGAACACCCGGTGTCCCCTGCCTGCCCGTTACCTTCTGCCTGCGCTTCTCCTTCCTCTTATCTTCCGTCGCCTGCAACATTTTCTCCTTCCATAAGTTGAAGAAGTAGGAGGGGTCGGTGTAGAACTTGAGGCCATCCTTTTTGTCATCCCTGGGCGATTGGGGAGGGAGGAAAGGGGGTTATATTTCCTACGAGGAAAGGCTGGGAGAGCTGGGGCTGTTCAGCCTGGAGAAGAGAAGGCTCTAGGGAGACCTTAGAGCAGCTGCCAGTGCCTGGAGGGGCCTGCAAGAAAGCTGGAGAGGGGCTGTTTATAAGGGGGATAGGACAAGGGG